CTGTATCTCACCACCCTCTTTTGACCCCTCCATTGACATCACATGCACTGCTGTCTTCCAGAAGTTTGGACCTGTGTCGTTGTCATCTCTCAGTGACATTGTTGCTGAATTAAAACCCTCATCTTGTCCCACAGACCCAGTCCCTCCTCGACTTTTTAAAGAGATATGGGACACTATTGGACCTAATGTCCTTACAATTATAAATAGCAGCCTAGAGTCCGGTTCTGTGCCAGTTTATTTCAAACAAGCGGTTGTGGCACCCCTGATAAAAAAAACAAATCTGGACAATTCTGTCTTCTCAAATTACAGACCCATCTCTAAGCTTCCTTTTATCTCAAACATATTGGAGAAAACCGGACTCTTACAGCTGCAGTCTTTTATACATGCACACAATATTTTTGATATTTTTCTGTCCGGTTTTTAAGCGCTTCACAGTACTGAGTCTGTCCAAACTTTTATGTCCCGCCTAAAGACCCACCTCTTTTCCCTCGCTTTCGAGTCAGTCGGAGCTGTTTTATCGATTTGTATGCTTTTATTGTCCATAGCCTTTATGTACCGTGTATTAATTCTTATGTGTGCCTTTTATCCTTTTATCTTTTCTTATGTGTGCCTTTTATCTATTATTGTAATATTATATTTTTATTTGAGGTCTTCCACTATTGATCTTATGTTTCAGTTTGTGAAAATGTAAACTGTACATGGAGTGAAATGTGATGTTTTTTGGCTCTCTCTGTTTTAAATAGACTTCATTGTCTCTGTCAGCAGGATAGTTATTAACCAAGACACTGATGAGGATTTTTAAAGTTATTTATTATGTGGAATTTAAAAAAACAATTTGACGAGACTTTTGTAATATCAACAACTCTGCATAAAACAAATAAGCATGTATACATATTGAAGCAGTAATATAGAGCACCTGACCATCGGCTGGTCTTAATGATAAATCATGTTTGACACCTCGACATGATTCACTTCAAGCTGCCAGCAGCTCGTTCTTCTAAACCTACAAGCTGCTGCTACTGAAAACTGACAATAATAATAATAATAATAAATTCTATTTCTATAGCGCTTTTCTAAGACCCAAAGACGCTTTACATTTGGGGAAGGGTAGACAGACAAGGACAGGCAACAAGACAACAACAAAACAAAAACAAAACAGAGAAAAACAAAACAAAAAAACAGAAAGCAGTCAGGAGGAAGTGGGGGGTGGTGGGGGGGGGGGCTTATGGGTATACAGATTTGAAGAGATGGGTTTTGAGGCGGGACTGGAACAGGGTGAGGGACTCGGACTCACGGAGGTCTTGGGGGAGGGAGTTCCAGAGCTTCGGGGCTGCCACAGAGAATGCTCTGTCCCCAAAGCTCTGGAGTTTGGCCTTGGGGATGGAAAGCAAACCGGCTGAGGTGGATCTGAGGGACCGGGGTGGTTGGTAGAGGATGAGGAGGTCAGTGAGGTAGGGGGGGGCCAGGTGGTGGAGGGCTTTGTAGGTGAGTACCAGGAGTTTGTGTTGGATGCGGTGTGAAACGGGAGCCAGTGAAGTTCTTTGAGGACCGGGGTGATATGATGCCATGATGTGGTGTGGGTGAGGAGTCTGGCGGCTGCGTTCTGGACACGCTGAAGTCTATTGAGGGATGTAGTGCTGATGCCGTAGAGGAGTGCGTTGCAATAGTCCAGGCGGGAGGAGATGAAGGCGTGAATGAGTCGCTCAGCTGCAGGGCGGGTGAGAGAGGGACGGAGTTTGGCGATATTGCGGAGGTGGAAAAATGAGGTTTTTACAACTTGGCGGATGTGGGGCTCGAGGGAGAGGGTGGGGTCAAATATCACGCCAAGGTTGCGTGCCTGGGTGGAGGGGGAAACAGGGGTGCCATCGATGGTGAGTGTCAGGTTGGGGGTTTTGCTGAGGGTGGATTTGGAGCCGATGAGGAGGAGTTCAGTTTTATTGCTGTTGAGTTTGAGGAAGTTGTGTGCCATCCAGGATTTTATAGCAGTCAGACAGGATTCGATGTGGGTGAGGGGGGGGGTTGTGGGGGGATTTGGTGCTGAGGTAAATCTGTGTGTCATCAGCGTAGCAGTGAAAGTCCAGGTTGTAGTGGTGTAGAATCTGACCAAGGGGGAGGATGTAGATAATGAAGAGGAGGGGGCCGAGTACTGAACCTTGGGGAACACCTTGGGTGACTGAAGCTGTGGCAGAGGAGTGGTTGTTGAGGGAGATGAAGTGGGATCGATCAGTGAGGTAGGACTGGAGCCACCTGAGTGCAGTACCTTCGATACCGATGTCCTGGAGTCGGGTGAGCAGGATGGTGTGGCTCACGGTGTCGAAGGCTGCACTCAGGTCGAGGAGGATGAGGATGTTAAGTGAACCGGTGTCAGCAGAGGTGAGGAGGTCATTGAGGACTTTGGTGAGTGCCGTTTCTGTGCTGTGGTGGGGACGAAAACCAGACTGAAGGAGTTCAAAAAGGTGATTTGTTTGGAGATGGCGGTGGAGTTGTTTGGAGATGATACGTTCTATTGTTTTTGAGAGAAAGGGGAGGTTGGAGATGGGGCGGTAATTACTGAGGGAGGAGGGATCCAGACCGGGTTTCTTGAGGATGGGAGTGACAGCAGCAGTTTTGAAGGCAGAGGGAACGGTTCCTTGGGACAGGGAGGAGTTGAAAAGGTTGACAAGGTAAGGGCAGAGGACGGGGAGGCAGGACTTCAGTAGAGGGGTGGGTAAGGGGTCAAGCGAGCAGGTTGTGGGTTTGGAGGAGCTGATCAGTTTGAGTATTTCAGGGGGGGTAACCAGAGTGAACTGGGAGAGGCGGCCGTGGGGAGGGGCGCTCGGGAGGTCCAGGGAGATGGAGGGAGAAATTGTGGCGGTGGGTGTTGGGGGAGATGTTTGTGTGTGAGAAGCAGTGGATAGGGAGAGATTAATGGCAGTGATTTTGTCAGAGAAAAACTGGAGGAATGAACTGCATAAGGTGGAAGTGGATGAAGAGAGGGTGTCAGCACGGGGTTTGAGGAGCTTGTTGACGGTGGAGAAGAGGGTCCTGGAGTTACGGGAGGGGTCGGTAAAGATGGTGGAGAAGTAGGCAGATTTTGCGGCAGTGAGGGCGTCTCTGTAGGTAGTGAGATGGAGTTTGTATGATTCATGGTGAACTGTGAGGGATGATTTCATGGATAGGCGTTCAAGCTGGCGGCCGGTTTGCTTCAATTTTCGGAGTGCAGGGGTGAACCAGGGTGAGGAGGTTTTGAAAGTGACGTTTTTCCTTTTGAGGGGGGCCAGGCTGTTGAGGGAGGCGAGTAGGGTGGAGTTAAGGTGGTTGAGTTGTTCATCGGGTGAGCTGAGGTTCGAGTCCAGGGGGAGAGTAGAGGATAGCAGGTCGGAGAGGTGCTGGGGATCGACAGAGCGTAAATTACGGAAGATGATGTTCCTGGGTGGGGGGGGGGGTGGCGGACGGGGGATGCGATGATGAACTGTATGAGTTTGTGGTCAGAGAGGGGAAAGGGGCAGGGGTGGAGGTCGAGTACTGGGAGGTTGGTGGAGCAGACAAGGTCAAGGATGTGTCCTTTATCATGGGTGGGGAAGGTGACATGTTGGGTAAATGAGAAATTGTCCAGAAGGGAGGAGAATTCAGAAGCGAGTTTGCAGGTGGGGGAGTCCATGTGGATGTTGAGGTCGCCGAGGAGTAACATATGTGGGGAGAGGGATGAAGCAATGGTGAGGAGTTCAGTGAGATCAGAGAGGAAGGAGGGGTGTGGTTTGGGAGGGCGGTAAATGAGGATAACTGTCAGTGAGGGAGTGGTTTTGAAGGCGAGGAATTCGAAGGATGATACTGAGGGGAGGGTGAGTTCTGTAGTCCGGATGTTCTGGTTGTAGATGACAGCCAGCCCACCACCACGGCGTGAGGGGCGGGGTTTAGTGATGTAATTAAAACCAGGGGGGGATGTTTGATTGAGGGAGAAGAAGTCATTGGGTTGTTGCCAGGTTTCAGTGAGCAGAAGGAAGTCGATGGATTTGTCCAGAATTATTTCGTGGAGGATGTGGCTTTATGGTTGAGTGACCGGATATTGAGGAGGGCAAGATTAGTCAAGTGGGGGGTTGGAGGGGTGGTGGCAGGCTGGATAGGTATGAGGTTGTCTGGGTTAGCAGCTCGGGTGTGGGCACGAGAGGGGAGGCAGTGGGGCAGAGGAGGGGGGCTTGATGGTGGGGAGAAATGGCTTATTATATGTTTTGGGTGGCGGAGGGGAGTGGGATCCGCTCCGGGTATTTCATGCAGCTGGGAGTGTAGGTGAGCGGGGGAGAGTGTAAGAGGAGCAGTAGGAGTTGCATTCTGATGACGCGTCAGGTGTGCGACAGTGCGTTGGGTAGAGCAGATGGATGGTATGGATTGTCCGTGCTGAAAGTAAACAAAACTGCGGCGGGTGCTTCGGTGAATGTAGCGGGGTCGACGAAGGAGTCCAAGAAGTCTGATGACTGAGATGGAAGACGGGGTGGAGGAGATGTTGAGTGACAGAAGCTGTGAGATGGAGTATTTCAGCATGATGACAGGTGGAAAGGCTGGGAGCAGTGTGTTAGCAGCGATAGCGGCTAGCAGGCTAGGTGCACAGAGGAGGAGGATTGTTGTGGAGACGAGGAAGATCCACGGCATGGCAGGAGGATGTGAACAGCGGGACAGGACAGATGCACCCCAGAGATGAAGGCAGGAGGCAGAGAGACTCCACGGTTGTTGCGTGGGGTGGAGACAGACAAATAGGCGATGTAGCAGGTAGCAGTAGCCACCCGGCACTTTGATGGCTGAGTGAGGGCAGCCGGCTACAGGCAGCAACGGAGGCAGAAGGTAAAGTAAGTTAAAAATGTTAAAAACAATGTGCAGTGCAGTGCAGTGCAGGGCAGTAGTCCAATTCGGAAGTTTTTTGGAAGAACAGAGGGTAACAGAGGCGGAGAAGCGGCGAACAGTCAACGCCAGCGTCCTCTCCTCTAATAACTTTAAGAGTTGAACGTGAATATATCCACTTCGCACACATCCTGCACAGCCTCGCTCTCCACAGGGACATTTCAACGTCCTTCTTCTTTGTTTCCATCAGGTGAGCGTCTGAAGAAAATCACAGAAACTTTGTGTAAAGTTACAGCTGGAACTGTGACTCTAAATGTGGAGTGGGCCTGTTTGATCTGATGCAGGAGGCTCTAACCTGACTGGACTTCACACCAGGTCTTCCTGCTCCTCTGTGTCTTCTGTCTGTACTGCAGTGTCTGAGTCGTTCTCATACTCAGGAACAGAGTCCAACTGATGAAGAGAGAGAAGACACAATTAGACCCTCATTCATGAAACCACCATATACTTTAAGATTTTATAAAACATTTTTCATATTTTAAAGTTGATGCTAATTATTTCTTGGCTAAATTCATTTCTGGTTTCAACTCAGGAAGTTGTCTTTAATCACAAGTTCTCTTCACATTGCATTTATGAGCCACAGTATAGCTTTGACGAAGGGGAAATGTTGTCAATAGGTCCGCTCTCTCTCACCTCTATCTCTTCAGGTTCAGGTGCTTCAGTGGTGGAGCGCAGAGCTTTCTTCTTCCTGGATTAAGGGCAACAACAAATACAGATTTTATTTCATAACAGTAAACTACAACATGTAAGAAGGATGTTTAAACTGATGAATTTATATTGTTGTACCTCATCCACAGACTCAGGAGAAACACAGGAATCAGTATCAAGACCCCCAGAGTCGTCCTGATGATATTCACTATCATTGTTGAACTCCCTAGAAACATAAATACAAATGTGATACTTCTAACTACAGATTGATAAATCACATTGTCAGTGTGATCCACCTCTGACACCATGGAGGTTCCTCCCTGAACACTGACATTTTGAATATGCTTGGGTTGTTTCATATTACAAAGTGAATCAGGTCTGGTGAATGTGGAGAACTTACCTGTTCCAACACTCAGATGTAAAGTGGAGTTGCTACGTCCTAACTTGTTCTGGGCTCCACAGGAATAACTCCCACTGTGTTCAGCTCTGAAGTCAGTGATGGTGAAGATCTGTCCTGAAGCTTTTGGAGAGTCTTCATCCTCCTTGTACCAGATGTAGTTAGCTGCTGGGTTAGCATCACTGCTACAGGTCAGAGTAACTGAACTGCCCTCCTCTATCTCAGCAGAGAGTGTTGACAAGGAAGGAATCCTCGGAGCATCTGGAGGAGATGTGTGAACAGTAAATATTAAGAATGTGTTTCTCACTGCATTAGCTCAAAGGGTATCTACATTATTGAACGCTGAATGAACTGTAGCTGCATTTAGGACTTTGAACATGGTTTGACAAAATGCTTGTTGGACGGATTGAATCTTTGTCCAAAAGGTGAATATAATTTAAGTTGTATTATGTTAATTAATTAATATGTACTGTAAATAATTGTTCATGAGTATTTCTGAATTGTTATTGGTCATAATAAAGTAATGATTTGTCATTGGTTAAATGCCGTTTAGTGTATCACTTAATCAAGTCACAACTATGAATTGAGTCATGGAATTTAAGGATTTAGAGATAGCCTTGTGCAGTTAATAACAGTAAATATTAGTTAAATATAACAATATTTAACGTCGTTTCTCAATGATGTCATCATTAGCAACTCTATAAAATGTGATTAGAAGTTACTGCCAGTTCACTTTTCATTACCCACTTGTTCCCTGGATCCCATGTAATGTAAAGCAAGCTGAGCTGAAGAAAGTAGTGATGATAAGTAACATCTTCTCTTGAAACAACTAGACAGATATAAGCTTGTTATCTTTAAATAAACTGTCTTACTCACATTTTACGTCAATAAAGATGTTTACAGATGTGCTACTCCCCAGATCATTTGTAGCTGAACAGAAATACTCTGCAGAGTCAGAGGAGTGGATGGATCTGAAGACAAGAAGTGGTCCTTCACTGAGAGGAGGAGAGTTTGCATTTCCATTCTCCTTGTACCAGGTGTAGTTAGCTGCTGGGTTAGCATCACTGCGACAGGTCAGAGTTACTGAACGGCCCTCCTTTATCTCAGAGGGTCTTGACAAAGAAAGGCGCCTCGGAGCATCTGGAGGAGATGTGTTAACAGTAAATATTCAGAATGTGTTTCTCACTGCATTAGCTCAAAGGGTATCTACCTTATTGAACGCTGAATATCGGCATTTCGAGTCATTATAGAGCATTGCATGAGGAACTCATTCCAAAATAACCCTAACTTGAAGGACAGTTGTTGAGTATTTACTAATCACATTTTGTAGAGTACACTGAAAACACTAAAACATTGACTTTAATTAAATGTATTATGTCAATAAATTCATTTTTTTTTGCATTAGGTGAGTTGAAAGCAATAATATTAAGTTGAACCTAATATTTTTCATTTAAAATGTATATTATTGCTTTCAACCAACATAATACAATTATGTGTAATTTGTTGACATAACACATTTAATTAAAGTCAACGTTTCAGTTTTTTCACTGTAGCTAATGAATATATTTTAGAGAAACAACCGTTAGATATTATGTAAATGAATTAATATATACTGTACATAATTGTTCATGGGTATTTCTGAATTGTTATGAGTCATAATAAAGTAATGATTTGTCATTGGTTAAATGCCGTTTAGTGTATCACTTAATCAAGTCACAACTATGAAGTGAGTCATGGAATTTAAGGATTTAGAGATAGCCTTGTACAGTTAATAACAGTAATTATTAGTTAAATATAACAATATTTAACAATCGTTTCTCAATTATGTCATCATTAGCAACTCTACAACATGTGATTAGAAGTTACTGCCAGTTCACTTTTCGTTACCCACTTGTTCCCTGGATCCCATGTAATGTAAAGCAAGCTGAGCTGAAGAAAGTAGTGATGATAAGTAACATCTTCTCTTGAAACAACTAGACAGATATAAGCTTGTTATCTTTAAATAAACTGTCTTACTCACATTTTACGTCAATAAGGATGTTTGCAGATGTGCTACTCCCCAGCGAGTTCTCAGCTGTACAGAAATACTGTCCAGAGTCAGAGGACTGGATGGAGCTGAGGACAAATTGTGTTCCTTCACTGAGTGGACGAGAGTTTGCATTTCCATTCTTCCAGATGTAGTTAGCTGCTGGGTTAGCATCACTGCTACAGGTCAGAGTCACTGAACTGCCCTCCTCTATCTCAGCAGAGGGACTCACTGACACAGAGGGGAGCTTTGGAGCATCTGGAGGAGATGTGTTTAAAGTTATTAACATGGAAGGGTAGATATAATGGCAACTTGCAAATGAGACACAAAGCAGGAAACCTTTTTCACAAACACAAACCAAAACATTTTAAAACTTGGAGCATCTGGAGGAGATAACATGAACACATTTCACATTTAATTCCACGGTGGAAGATATTTTAATGAGCAATAGTTTAATAAAAAACAGAGTGGGTGGTTAACTTGATTCCATCCTTTATCAGAAATCTAAACACTTTGAGGGAAAGTGTTAATCTTTATGTCATGGAAGAAGATTCCTTCATAATTCTCGTTTATTCTTCTTTCTAGTAGCATCCTTCGTAGCAAGAGTATATTTGACCTATTTTAAAATCAAACAGAGAACCTCGAGCCCTGGTTCAGTGTCTTTGGACACTGCCATGTCTGCTGGCGACCTCTGGTAGATAAATGAGTGATGTGTGTATTCCATGTGTTGCTCCGGTGTTGGCTTGTGAGCAGTATAACGTGTGTATTATGGGGGGGGGGGGAGGGGGGTGTTACGTGCCGTAGTGTGTGCTTTTGTGTGTGTCTCTCTCTCTCCCTGATTGTCTCCAGGTGCAGCCTCTCCCTCAGGTGCTCCCAATCCCCAATCAGGGCCTCCTTAAAGGACCTGAGGAAGGCTGCAGTGGCCCTTTTTGTGTATTGTTTAATTTAGTCACTTTCTTTTAGAAGGAAGTTGTTCTTAGTTATTTAAGTTTGTTTTTGCAAATTGGCTGGTGAGCCTCTTTACTTTTTTATTGATTAAAACCTCACTTTGTGGCTTCAGCAGTCAGTTTCCTCTCCTCTTTCTCTCCCCCGGTTGTTTTTGTGTTTTGTTACTTCCCTTTGTACCCCTAGTTTAGGAGGGAACGTAACAAATGATGATATATGTTATACTGTATGTTTCTGTTATTATGTTAGTGGAAGACTTTGAGTAAACTCACACACTGAAGAAGTCACTCCGCGGCCATCCTGACCCTGAACCACTGAAACACAGAGCACATCGGAAACTATAATCAAAGGTAATCTATAAATTGTTGAGAAATTTCCTGATCAATACTTTCAACAAAGAATGTAAAAATAAACATTTTACAAACTTTACTGGGATAGAGCAGAAAAACACATGTGAATTCCTTCTTAGGCACTTTAAAACCAATGATACTCTTTGACTTTGTTGTTTCTTAATCAAACCAGGTAGAACAGAAGTCTACGCAAAAAGGGTATGGTCAGTTTGACACGAGATTGGAAAATGCTTTTAACTCAGAGCGTGGGAATATAACACTGAGGTCAGAGAGGAGAGAAGAAACTAGAAGGGTTTGGTGCAGAGGTATGATCGATAAGAGTTGAGTCAATCAAATCAAATCAAATCAGGTTTTATTTATAAAGCACATTTAAAAGCGATTTTTGGTCGAGCCAAAAAACAAATAAAAGGATTTTAAAATCAATTCTGAACCGAACTGGAAGCCAGTGTAGTGAGGCCAGAATATGTTATGACTTAGAATAAGAATATCTTAAACTTAATAAAAACGGAGCTGGCGATTCTTGAAGTCGTCTTAAGCAAAAAAACAAAGCAAAATGTTTTCAGAGAGAGAGGATGGAACAGTTATGCATACACTATATTCTCATTTTAACGCTTGTAAAAGTGATAATCAAACAGATATTGTATGCAGATGATTGGAGCAAAGGACAGTGGCAACGCACGACAAGATCTTCAGAAAATCCATCAAAAAAACTAGTAACGTCTTTGAGTTTCTACAATTCTACACAAATACATTTAAAATGTTTCTGCTAGGTTTGCCTTTTACACAAATCCATCCCACTTATTCCCACATGTGACCTGGTTTTACAAGTCCCACATTTTCCCAGAATGCCCTCTGTTCATGTGATGAATGTAAGTGTAGATGTACAGTACCTGACACAGAGAGCAGGAAGACAACTAATCCACTCGCTGCTGCAGTTAAACTCATAGCTGCTCCTCTCATCTCTGTGAGACTATAAAACATGTCAGATTAAATAATGTTCACAGGAGGTATACAGAATCATTACATCAATAAACTGTTTCTACTCACAGTGAAGGAGGAACCATGTGTTGAGAGATGCCTTTCCTCTGTCGTCAATGAGCAGAAGACGGATATCAGGCTGTTAAGAGACTAGATTTACTTCCTCTTTAGATTATTAATATGCATGATGAGCCAAATGCCAGTAACAGCCATTACACAATAAAGTAATGTTTTTTAACAAAATATAAACTTTTCTGAAATAAAATAAACTATGGTTAAAGACCCGTTTTGCTGATTATATACTACTGACTGCTGCTTATATACCACTGACTGCTTATATACTACTGACTGCTTATATACTACTAACTGCTTATATACTACTGACTCAGGGAGGTGGATGACCCGAGGGTAAGGCAGAGGCAGAGAAGGTCTCGACACAGAAAATTACCTTTTTTGAAGGCTGTCTTGATATACAGCGTACCAACCAGAACTCACTCCTTTGTAATCTCAAAGAACCCACAAAACAAACAGAACTTGAATACATGCATAACAAATCAAAGGACAAGACAGAGCTAGGCAGAGCAGGAAAAACACAATGGTACCCGGTGAACAGAATCAAAAATCAAAAAGGAGGGAAAACACAGAGACAGGAAGCAGACACAGACATAAGACATGGGGTGAACACTTTTGAAGATAAAACAGGAAAACAGACAGACCGTCACAAAGGGGGAAATAAGTGTTTTAGTTTGGGTGAACTGACTTAAAGCAGACGGTGGAGGGGAAGTACCCCTCAATGCAGTGCGCAATGCCTCAATGAGCTCAATGTGGGCGGCAGCTCAACCTTTGAGGCACGTCACGTCCCAACTCCCGTGTTGTGTACTTACCCAGTCACAAAAGTAACATATTATATCTTATATTATTAATATATATATATAATTCTGATGTCTGTGATTATTTAAACATTCCCTGATAAACGTTATTTCAGCGTCAATAAATGAGTGTTAATCCCAGTGTGTTTAGTGTACAACATCACATGTCATTTCACCTTCAATTCACAGTTTTCACAACGTTAGCCACATGCTAATGCTAACCGGAAATGAAGACCTTTCAGAATAAAAGTGTTAAGTTAAAGGTGGGGTATGTAAGTTTGAGAAACCGGCTCGAGATCGCTAGAATTTGAAAATACACAACCGGAGAAAATCTGCCACTTCCTTACAGAGCCCCTCCTCCAACACACACGAACGCGCACATGACCAATGAGGGCACGAGATAAGTTTGTGCACAGATGGAAGGCTGACAGGCAGGTAGGCCATCCAGTTATTTTAGCCGGGCCGGCTAAAATGATTGGTCGTACTTTTTACAGCACTACGGCTTCCACAGATGATATTTTTTTATGGATTTTTTGTCAAAGCACTTTAGATATTCATTGCTATCGGGATGTTAAGAGCATTCCATGGAATATAACAAAAAGTGTATCTCGAGCCGGTTCCTCAAATTTACCTACCCCACCTTTAATAGTTAGTGTGAACTTCCGTTTTTTTTCAGAATAAAACTGCTTTAAATTAAAACCCTGTATTTCATTTAAATTATGTCATATCAACATTGATTTTAATTTCTTACAGTAGGAGAGGTTTAGGTTTGGGAGGGAGGAAGGAAGATTAGGATTAGGTAAAAAGGTAGGGAGTGGTTAGGGTTAGGATGGGGGGAAGGGAAGGGTTAGATTGAAGGGAGGGAAGAGAACTGCTACCGGGGAAACAGGATGCAACGCATTTACATGCAAATGTAAATGCATATTTTGATTTTAAAGATCAAATGAGTGAAACCTATTGCCATTTTAGTCTTTTAACATTAGAGGTAATTTACTGTATATTACAGATGTAGCACCTAATTTAGGACAGTTTGAAACGCGAGGGCCGTGGTCGGCACGGGGTCTGCCCTCGATCAAGGGAAAACCTCCAGCTTGACTTGAGACCGCCCCGTGATAAATAAATGTAATTATAATGAAGCCAGCTGCAATGGATCATTGATCCACCAGGGGGTGCAGTGGGGTTCCACACTGGAGCTATTGTGAAATATAGTCTGATACATTACGCTGGATGTACAGTATGTCTGGTACTACTGTATAGCGGATCTTTGTTAAGATCCATATGTCACGGATAGGATCATAGTCTGTGCTAAATAAGAGACATGTAATCATTTACAAAACATCACCATGTTGTTATTTAACAAAATAATGTTGTTTTATACACAGTATATGCTGTGATGCAGCGGGAGGAGCAAAACACACACTTCAAGTCAGATCATCACCCTTAGCTATTTGAATTACTTCTCAAACTACCTAAACTAGTTATAAATGTTTATTTTTACTGTCGGCCGGGTCACTCATTACTGGATCAGCTGCTGCATGAGACAGACACTGACGCTGTCAGAAGAGAGGGAGGAAAAAGAGAGGCCAGGCTCTGTGTATTTTATTATTATATATAGTCGTTATTCATTTGTTTTAAAGCTCAATAAATAACAAAGAAGACCTTTGACCGGCACTTTTATAATTTTGTCCGGAAGATTTAAACTTTAACACACGTTGACCGGCGAAAAACTCTGCCCGGTTCCCTCGGCCCCCACCATGGAGAATAAACAGAAGGGCAACCATGACGACCATGCTTCTTCGCTGCTTTTGTGGAGGAAGTTACAGCGCCACGTACAGGCTCGGCATATGTACTGCAGCTTTTTCCAGCGGTTGGAGCTAAACGGAGCTGTCTCGTGTGAACAGACACTATCCGGTGTATATTGCGTGTGGACGGAAGCTTTTTTGCGATTGCGATTGCGTTAATCCTATGCGTTTTGCCGTATGCGTTCCCGTGGCCAAGCCATTTTTAATCACACACGTCTCCCCATCCCATTCAAATTCAAATTATTGACGGGAAGAGCAGTGTAGCCTACATGTAAATGGGTGGCATAGCCTATATACATTTGAAAATAAATAGTACCCCCCTCTGAGTGACTATCTGTTGACTTCACATCTTGTCACAAACCAGGGGACTTTACTTCCTGATTTTTGGAAGACAAGACTGACCCAAGATACCTGCAGTCGACTAATTACAGGCCTCAATAAAGTTCTGCCATTGGTTGTACAAAATAAAGGTGGACATAGTGGAAAGTGAAATTGACATTGTCAAATTTAATAAAAATACAAAATAATGTATCTGTGTGTACGTGTTTTACTGTACTGTATCTGCATGCACTTATCAAACATTTAATTAAATAATGGTGATATACACAGTGATAGATGTTAAGGACTAACGTTTATAATAAATAGCCTAGTATTTATCCATATTCATAATAATATTTATATATTCAACAACCATTTTTAATGTAAAAGGTTCATAAAATAAAAACACAACACTGTCATTGCAAGTGACACTCAGTTAGTTGACTTTTATGTTCAACTGCTAAATTCGTTACTGATAAAAAAGGGCTTCTACCTAATTACCTTAAATAAACTCACTAATTAATGAAACCAGTTCAATACGCATTATTCTTATTCTTATCATTCTTTATGAGCGCAGAAATAGTCTTAAAATCAGACCTGTTTTTTAAATGAAATCTGACGGCAGGCAGGCAGCTCTGGGGCCTCATTTATAAAGGGATATACGCTCAAAAAATGGCGTACGCCAGTTTCTACGCAATGTTTGCGATTTATAAAATACTAACTTGACTCTCTCTTGTCTCAAACTCTAACCCATGCGTACGCACTAAGCACAACAACGGGAGAGACGAGAAACTGCGACACCGTTGGCAGAAGGAAGAATGGAGAGAAATATGTGGAAATAATACCATAAATAAAATGTTACCTCTCATTTATCAAATATGAAGAATTCATTTTCAAACATTGATTAAAGCCAATCTTTAAATGATTAAACAAACGCCTGTTTGCGACTCCTCAGTGCACACAAACACATAACTTGGAGAAATAAATAAATACGGATATGTTATTTAAAACCACCTCGAATATGTTGTGTTAATGTTATGAAATGTTTTCTCATAAATGATGCGGTAAGCAGGAGGACAGAATTACGTCTAAACTGACGCCGTTTTGCATTTCTATAGGTTGTAGATACGAGCATGGTTTTATATACTATCACGTTTAATCGTGTTTTATGCCGTTTGCCAAGACTTGATAAGTGGCTCGTAAAACACAGGAGGTATGGAAACTAAGAACACCATATGTGGTAAATTGTACAGCTAATATAACACAATCCATTAGTTGTATTTCCTTTAACTGGTGGATTATGGATATATAGTTGCTGATCGAAAGCTGGAACACAAACCACCAAATACAAAAAGATAATTCAGATCCAGTCGTCATGACTCCACTCCGGAGGGATTCCCCGATCATTTCTTACAGTTTCTCATCAAGGGGGGGTCTCCTGTCCCCGGGACAAACACACTGCCTGAGGAAGGTTATGTGTATTTGTTTTGTCATTAATTTTTTTTGGACCACTTATTTATTTATTTTGGTGACGATCCGACCTCCATGCTGCTACTCTGGTTCAAACTGCATCCACCAAACAATATGATTTATCTCCACCTCCCCACAATAACCAAAATCTGACACGGTGTGAGAAGTCTTTTTTAGCTGTTCGGTCGTCATTTCCTGCGATCTTCTTCATGCAGTCAGTCAGAATGAATGAATGAATGGGCGTTTCTTTGACTATGTATAGGCAAATATGGGCGTTACGAGTCGATTGTGATTTATCAAGGGAAACAGGCGTAGGGAGTGCCGTACGCACTTCTCTCGCCGGTACGCAATGTTTTGTGAATCGGAAAATGGCGGAAAATGTATGTACCTATTTTTGTGCTTTGTACTACGTAAGCAACCTTCCTACGTCAATCCTACGCAAGGCGTTATAAATGAGGCCCCTGATCACCTAATGATAAATGCGCCACACCTAATCGCCGGCCATTCAGCCACAGCTCTATACAAATCAAACTGTAGACGGTGTGAAAGCACCTATTGTTTTAAATAATGGTCGGAATGTGACCTGTGAGCCTTCTGAATTAAACTAAACTAAACTAAATGTTCAATCAATAAAGTAACATCTTATCTTATCTTAATAATATCTTCATATTAATAATAATAATAAATCATACAGTATGTGTCCGAAAGGGAGCAGGAGGAAGCAAACACAAAAATATACAAAAAATATATTGCATATTAAAGCAAACGATTGTAAAGGTAAAAGTTATGAGCATGACAAATAAAGAAGTGTAATGTAAACATTTCTATTATTATTATGATTATTTAATATATAAAGACTATATATTATTGAATTACAAGATTAGATATACTTTATTTTATCTAAAATATTGATGTGTTCAAATGCTCTTCAAAACACAACTGAAAGTCCATGAAAAGTTGTCTTTCTGTATTTGTGAATGAAGCGCCATCTCCTGGTTAAATCCTGAAATTGAAAATCTGGCAACGCCCCTCTTGGAAAATAGTGGGAGGGCTTAACATTCCCAGATGCTGGTTTTAGGCAGGTCTTAGGCAGGAAGCTGTAAGCTGGAGTCCTATCTGGAGTACTACATCTGTAGGTTTACACTTCACACCGAGGACCAACATCTTTGACATATTGGAAAGCAACTCTATAAAACATGTTTTACTTGAATAACGACTCATAATCAGGGCGTTGCACAAGCTTTTCAAAATGGACTTTTCTCCAGCATGGACCACTCCTCAACAATATGTCACTTCAACTTTTATTACAGGTATTTTTGTTCATTGAGCACTGAGGAAATGTAAGAGGAAGGGGTAAGGCTGGTCTGGAGGACCTACTGTAATCCATGCAGGATATAGGAGTGGTGGCTTTAGTAGTGAACTTTCCTTATAGAAGTGCTCTGTATATTCTCTACTATATTCTCACCTTATTGTTGGCTACCAATGAGACACATATGACTCCAACTTGACTGCACCTGTGGTCAAGTTACAGGGGTACTGCCCATATTTAGTAGATGAAAAGGAGTGGCAGGACCTTCAACACTTCCAGACCTCTATGCATCAAACTGTGAACTCCGTTTCCAGGACACTTTTTTGACCCTGTACAGACTGTAAAGATAACAATGTTGGTGAGGAGGTCCGTGTTCATATTATGGACCAAACATGGATTTAAACATCTCCAACATTAAATGGAGAGCCAGCCAGGAGAGTGCTTGGTCTCTTATGGCGCATTTCCACCACACGGTCGGCCTCGGCCTCGCTCGGTACTGCTAGGCCGCGTTGGGCCTTGTTAGGGCCGGCTCACTTCATGCTGCGCTTCCATTACAGTTTAGGAACTGGGGCAGTAACTATAGTAACGCAGTGTAGGCGGAGCCGTGACGTCATCTTCAATGAGAACCCCAGAAAAACAACACAGCCGTTAGCTGTTAGCACTCAAGCTCACAGCTCCTCATATCTGTTCAGAAACTAGACAAAAGTTAAACAAGTACAAACCACAGACTGTCTGTGTCATGGCGAATACAGTCGCTGCTTTATTTATGTCTGTATAGGCCGTTGTTGTGAGTGTGGACGGTCGGAGCATATATTGCGTTAGCTTAGCCAATCTCCATCTGGAAAACACGCATTTTAAAAGGTTTTTCGCCTGCCGTTTGTCTGCAGACTTGTCAAAGCATTAATTCATGGTTTTTACTAACCGGTATCAGTATGTTGTTACTTCGGCATCATTTTGAAATGTGTATTACAATTAAATCACGGTCAAATATGTTCATCTTGTTGTAGTTGTAGCCCCCTTGCCAGCGATTCTCTCTCTAGTTTAGCAAACTCAGCCCGACTCAGCCCTGTTTGTTGGCCCCGATAGAACCACGATTTTGTCGGGCCAGAAAAGAGGTGAAAAAGTAGCCCCGGGCCGGAACTAGGCCTAGTGGAAGCGCAACCAAAAACGGGCCCAGCACGACACGGCATGCTTAAACCGCGCTCCGCGCCATGGTGGAATTGCCCCATTAGTGTATGGGAATTTAGTTTCAAGCGTTTTTCTGTCTGGTCTGAATAAAGTAGCGCCCAGAAAGTACATATCATTTGAAATAGATGAGGGGAGACACAAAGAGAAACTGCGTGATGTATGAATAGAGGAGTGAAGAATTAACGAATGAAAGGTCAAGGGATGAAAGGATGAATGGTTATGGGGTAGAAGGATTGAGGGGTAAAGGGTCGGTGAGGGAAGGGAAAGGGAGGGTGGTTTGTAAAATATGACTATCTGCATTTCAATCAGGAAAGACGGTGTTGATGTAAGAATACATATTTATTGCCAGGAATACACAAATGAATGTAATGGAGTTTTGGCGATTAGGCCCCGTTGTGCGGGAGTATCATTCGGGAGGGGAGAACCGATCCGATGAAACCCCCCGGGGTCTAGACACTGGTGGTGGTGAATGGATAGTTGGGTTCGGTCTGAAGGAGAGTGGCTTAGCTTGACCTTGGATTCAGAGGGACAGGAGGTGAAAAGGGGTGGAGGAGGGTTGCGTTGAGTCACCTGAAATGACAGCTGTCAGAGGGGGGGAGAGCAGAATTAAAAGGTTTAGCAGAGCGCTATGATAGGCTTGTGAGAATAGAGCAAAGTGATTGGTTAAGCTGGGGTTTGCGCCCCCGACCACTTATTGATCGGAGAGAGAGTAGTAACATAGAAATAGTAAATGAATCAGTAAAGACAGTCTTCCTGGTTGAACTTGCGCTGAGCTTCATTTTCTCCAAAGGCAAATAATTTAAATTGATTCTCAGTTGAAAACTCTGTATGTGGATTTTCATATCAGAAACATCCCAGATCATTATGAAAACTGTGGCTCCTTTCCTTCCTATAGTAACACATCACCACATAGTGACAATATGGGAGATATACAAAAGCAACATGTATTAGACTTTTCTTTTTGTATTGCTAGCTAATAATTAAACATTATATACCGCAAATTATTGAAAAGTGAAAGAGAAAATCTGAAATCTAGAGATTTTTGAAGGTAATCTTTTCCAAACACTCGTCCGATGGTCCTTCACTTGTTGTAGAGCTGGCTGTCGATTTATTCTGATTTGAATCTTTCAGAGTAATATCTAACAAGGTCTTCTACTATTGAGCTTATGTTTCATTTTGTGAAAATCTAAACTGTGAAATGTGATGTTTTTAGGCTCTCTCTGTTTTAAATAGACTTAATTGGCTCTGTCAGCAGGATAGTTATTAACCAAGACACTGATGAGGATTTTTCAAAGTTATTTATTATGTGGAATTTAAAAAAACTATTTCAGTAGACTTTTTTTAATATCAACAACACTGCATATAACAAATAAGCATGTACACATAGTTGAAGCAGTAATATAGAGCACCTGACCATCGGCTGGTCTTAACGATAAATCATGTTTGACACCTCGACATGATTCACTTCAAGCTGCCAGCAGCTCATTCTTCTAAACCTACAAGCTGCTGCTACTGAAAACTGACAATACAAGCTTTAAGAGTTGAACGTGAATATATCCACTCCGCACACATCCTGCACAGCCTCGCTCTCCACAGGGACATTTCAACGTCCTTCTTCTTTGTTTCCATCAGGTGAGCGTCTAAAGAAAATCACAGAAACTTTGTGTAAAGTTACAGCTGGAACTGTGACTCTAATGGCGCGTTTCCACTACACGGCCTCGCTCGGCCTCGCTCTGTATGGCTAGGCCTCGTTAGGACTGGCTCACTTTATGGCGCATTTCCATTACAGTTTAGGAACTGGGGTAGTATCTATAGTAACGCAGTGTAGGCGGAGCCGTGACGTCATCTTCAATGAGAACCCCAGAAAAACAACACAGCCGTTAGCTGTTAGCACTCAGAGCTCACAGCTCCTCATATCTGTTCAGAAACCAGACAAAAGTGAAACAAGTACAAACCACAGACTGCCTGTGTCATGGCGAATACAGTCGCTGCTTTATTTATGTCTGTATAGGCCGTTGTTGTGAGTGTGGACGGTCGGAGCATATACTGCGTTAGCTTAGCCAATCTCCATCTAGAAAACACGCATTTTAAAAGGTTTTTCGCCTGCCGTCTGTCTGCAGACTTGTCAAAGCATTAATTCATGGTTTTTACTAACCGGTATCAGTATGTTGTTACTTCGGCATCATTTTGAAATGTGTATTAAAATTAAATCACGGTCAAATATGTCCATCTTGTTGTAGTTGTAGCCCCCTTGCCAGCGATTCTCTCTCTAGTTTAGCATACTCAGCCCGACTCAGCCTCGTTGTCTCTGGCCCTAGACCCACGATTTTATGAGGCCAGAAAAACTGTGAATTAGGACCCGCCGGCCGGTACTAGGCCAAGTGGAAACGCAACCAAAGACGGGCCGCTGACGTCACAGCCCTCTTAAACCATGCTCCGCGCTGTAGTGGAAACGCGCCATAAATGTGGAGTGGGCCTGTTTGATCTGATGCAGGAGGCTCTAACCTGACTGGACTTCACACCATGGCTTCCTGCTCCTCTGTGTCTTCTGTCTGTGCTGCAGTGTGTGAGTCGTTCTCATACTCAGGAACAGAGTCCAACTGATGAAGAGAGAGAAGACAAAATTAGACCCTCATTCATGAAACCCGCATATACTTTAAGATTTTATAAAACATTTTTCATATTTTAAAGTTGATGCTAATTATTTCTTGGCTAAATTTGTTGCCGGTTTCAACTCAGGAAGTTGTTTTTAAACACAAGTTCTCTTCACATTGCATTTATGAGCCACAGTATAGCTTTGACGAAGGGGAAATGTTGTCAATAGGTCCGCTCTCTCTCACCTCTATCTCTTCAGGTTCATGTGCTTCAGTGGTGGAGCGCAGAGCTTTCTTCTTCCTGGATTAAGGGCAACAACAAATACAGATTTTATTTCATTACAGTAAACTACAACACGTAAGAAAGATGTTTCAACTGATGAATTTCTATTGTTGTACCTCGTCCAGATACTCAGGAGAAACACAGGAATCAGGATCAAGACCCCCAGAGTCGTCCTGATGATATTCACTATCATTGTTGAACTCCCTAGAAACATGAACACATATGTAATACTTCTAACTGCTAGATTGATAAATCACATTGTCAGTGTGATCCACCTCTGACACCATGGAGGTTCCTCCCTGAACACTGACATTTTGAATATGCTTGGGTTGTTTCATATCAGGGCCGAATCAATTCTGGTTAATGTAGAGAACTTACCTGCCACAACACTCAGATGAAAGGTGGAGTTACTACGTCCTAACTTGTTCTGGGCTCCACAGGAATAACTCCCACTGTGTTCAGCTCTGAAGTCAGTGATGTTGAAGATCTGTCCTGAAGCTTTTGGAGAGTCTTCATCCTCCCTGTACCAGGTGTAGTTAGCTGCTGGGTTAGCATCACTGCTACAGGTCAGATTCACTGAACTGCCCTCCTCTATCTATTTCTATAAAAAAAAAGTGAAAGATATTACATATATAATAACAATAATAATAATAATAATAATAATAATAATAATAATAATAATAATAATAATAATAATAATAGTAGTAATAATAAGAAGAAGAAGAAGAATATAGTTGAAATAAAAAATGTGTAATTGTGGTTAAATAACATTGTCTGCTGCATTTATTTGGTCAATTTAAACGGTAAGTAACGTTATTATGTCAGGTGCGCGTGACCTGTGCCGCTGCGCGTTCGTCTTCTGCTATGCATGTAGACATTTCGGTCTTAAAAGGGGAGTGATTTGTAAAATATCCATAAAGAAAAAGTACATCTGTTTACAGTTCTGTTTCATATGGATGTTGAGATGTTTCCATAGATCTCGTCATTTTGCTCTCAAAGTGCACCAGATTGATGGTTTTAACTTCAATATTTAAAAAAAAATCTTCCCGGGGGTGCATGCCCCCGGACCCCCTTAGAGGAGGTGAGGACCCCCCTAGAGGAGGTGAGGACCCGCCTAGAGGGTGTTAGGTCCACTCCCCACTAAAAAAAATAGCACTTTACCACTGCACCCTCTCTAATCTCAGATGCACCCTGAGTCATTTTGTTCTGGAACCGGGCCTGAGATGTATTAATGATAATTGTAGGTTTGCTTTGAAATCATGGGCGTCGCAGCCATTATATGAGGGTGGGACAAGTCCCCCCCACTTTTTCAAATGATTAGTTTAGACCCCCCCACTTTTACTATGCGGAAAGTCCGTGAATCGGTCTATCCACTCGCTGCACTTTGTCGAGCGCTGTGTCAGTGCTTCACTATCAAATGAAATCCATTCCACTTGCTTATTGAGAGAATGCCCAAATCAATGAAACTCCGTTCCATGTTTTCACTGCTACTTTGTACCAAGGCAGATTCTCACATAGCGCGCGCATGTTCAAGGAGTGATGTCATAGTTGGACAGCTCAGATCTGTTGTATGAAGCGATGCCGGTAGCGGAGGTAAGGCACACACACCAAATGTTCAGGAAATGGTTAATACAGCGAAAATCAAAGCTGACGATCTCTTGGTTTGATATGTTATATCTCTCACAGGCTCCGCCCTCTACTGGACTCTATGGGTACTACCTTATCATGCAAGCATTCACCTACTGAGATTTCTATAGACGTAGCCGGCCCCGGGGCGGGCTTACCTGAATGCGTGCGCATCTCACTTCCGTATAAAAGGAGGCCTCGCCTCCTGACCACTATCCTTTACTCTTCAGCGAGCGGAGGTGGTAACCTAGCACTGAGTCCGAGACGTACAAGTGGGAGAAAGGAAGTAGAGAGAGATATTGTTGAAAATGGAGCCACTCCTGGAGCATCGCAGTTGCCCGTCGTGCCCTGGACTGATTGCGGGAGCAGACCCGCATCGCCAATGTTTTCAGTGCCTGGGACAGGATCACGCTGAGCAGGGAGCAGGCCAGACACCGGCCTGTGTTTCCTGCTGCTCGATCCCGATGCTAAACCGCCGGCATCGTGCGGAGTACTTCTCGAGGAAGTTCGGCCCGCAGGTGCACGGAGAGGAAGAGGATGTGGACCTCGAGGTGGTGGAAATGGACGACCTGGAGGACGTGCCGTTTGAGTTCGTCCTTCCGAGGGACTGCATGGTCGACTTCACGGAGGATGACGACATCTCCTTGTCCGACACCCCCGGGTCCGACAGCCAGGAGGGCCCAGCACTCAGGTCTGCGCGACTGGACTTCCCAGCGGTGATGACCCAGGCAGCGGAGCGTGTAGGCTTACCGCTCCCCCCACCGCTGCCACCGAGGCCTGTAAACCGCCTTAGGCAGGGGTTTTACGGCCCGGTGCTTCCGGCGCAGCCGGCTTTCGTCTCGCCCCCGTTGCCAGACATCTGGCAGTGTGTGGAGGCGACATGGCGGCGTCCATTGAGGACGAAGGCCGCCATAGCATCCATGTCGGGCATTATCAGGGTGCAGGGCCGATCAGACACGGTGTGTGCTGGCGTGCCCCCCCTCGACGAGAGCCTGGCGGCCCATCTGTTGCCACGATCAGCTAGTTGGGCGGAGGGGAAGAAACCTCTGCCCCCGCTGCCGCGGGACCGGGAAGCCTTAGAATATTTGGATAAAATATTCAGGCTCGGTTCACAGATGGCGGCTGCGGCGAATAATCTGGGTGTGTTGGGCGTCTCCTTGATTACTCCTCGAGCAGACGCCCCCGCTCTCCCGTCTCAGGACGGGGAGGATTATCCGGACCGCTGCATAGGTCAGATGAATAATCTGATCCATGGAGTGGCCACCGCAGCCGGGCGAGTGATGTCCTTAGCCACAGTGGCGTCTCGTCATGTGTGGCTGGGACTCACCGCGCTGCCCAAAAAGGACCGAGCAGATCTCCTTGGAGCCCCCGTTTCCACGGAAGGGCTCTTTGGGTCTATAGCCTCGGTCACCCAGCGTTTCAGCCGTCTGGAGGAAGAGAGGCTGCAGCTTAGCCGCATGTTGCCGCTAGCTTCTCCCCAGGTGTCACAGCGTCCTCCGCGGGCGGCGGAGCGCAGTGCAACGGTGAGACGGAGGGAGAGACGCCGGTACGAAAGTCCCGTGCCGGTAGCACCCTCCGCTTCTTCAACCAGCCCCGTGGGGCCAGCGTACCGGCACTCACGGGGGCGGGCTGCCCGGCCACGGCAGTCTCAGCAGCAGCAGAGAACCGCCGGGTGGGGAGCTCCGCCAAAACGCAGCTGACTGGCGGAGGGAGGAAGCGTCTCATCGGGTCTCTCCACCCAGGACGCTAGGGTGAATCCCACCTCCTCCCTGTTCAATGCCCAGGTCCCTTGTATTAGGAAAACTAATAAAGAAAAGGGTGATCTGTATCCAAGTCTGAGTGTCATGTGTTTTCACAATCCTGCACTCACACACATTGTTGACTGTACATATTCCCCACTCGCTACCCCGGTTATTTCTCCTGTAAAGGAGATAGCTAGTGGGCATGCGCAGATGAGAGAGATAAACCGCAGGAAGTGCTATAGTAGCGCTATGCGGGTGCAGGGACTTGCTAGTCGGCGCATTATGGTTAGGGAACACACTACACCTAGAATAAAGGCTCCTAATAATACAGTTTACCGTAGTGGTAAGAGCTGCATTATGGCGGAGCTCGCGCTCTCTCAAGAGCCCATGGTGTGTTCAGGGACCTCAGGTGAACACAATACGTCAACAAAAACTCCGGTTAATGCTGGTTACCATGGTAATGAGAACAGCGTTAGGGTGGAGCGCGCGCTCACACAAGAGCGCGCGACGGTGTGTTCAGGGACCTCAATAAAAAATCGGCCCTTTCTGTGTCGACCCTCCATGGGCAAATCTTCCTTTCACGGGGGATTTTGCGGCGGAACGGGTCACCAGAGAGTATCACAGCTTTATAGCTGCGGCCCCACAGCTAAGGGCTTGTCCATTAACTCAATATTATTGGGAATGGAAACTCAGCTGTGTACTGTCAGAGTGGATGGACAGGACGCTGAAACGGGGTTATTCACTCCAGTTTTGCAGCGTCCCACCTCCATTCAGAGGCATGCGAGAGGTAATTTTATCATCCCAAGAGGAGATGGGTTTCCTCTCAACAGAGATTCAGGCTTTGGTGCAGAAACAGGCAGTGTCTGTGGTGCATCCTCAGCAAAAAGAAAGGGGTTTTTATTCCATGTACTTCCTGGTTTCCAAGAAGACAGGGGAATTCAGACCTATTCTAGATTTGCGCAGCCTGAATCTTCACATTTGCCGCAGGAAATTTCGCATGTTAACTATCAAACAGTTAATGGGGCTAGTGCAGCCGGGCGATTGGTTCACCACCATCGACCTGAAAGACGCATATTTTCATGTGGAGATTGTGCCAGAGCACAGGAAATATCTGCGTTTTGCCTTTCAAGGGATAGCCTACGAGTACAACAGACTCCCGTTCGGCTACTCCCTATCCCCACGCACATTCAGCAAATGTGTGGCCACAGCGCTTCAACCGCTGCGCGCCCAGGGCATGAGAGTTTTCTTTTATATAGACGACCTCATAGTCATGGCTGGGTCCCGGGAACAGGCAATGTGTTGCACAGCACAATTGATCACACACCTAACCAAATTAGGCTTTGCAATCAATTGGCGAAAGAGCACCCCCATACCTCACCAACAGGCGTTGTATTTGGGAGTGGGGCTCGATGCAGGCGCGCTGCGTGCCACCCTGTCAGAGAACAGGCGTACGTCCCTTCTCAGGGCGGTGCACAGGCTGCAACAGGGGGCAACAGTGACAGCTTTAGCTGTCATGCAGACTCTGGGTCTCATGGCGGCTGCTCACGTTGTGGTCCCGTTGGGGTTATTGCATATGCGCCGCCTGCAGAGGTGGTTTTCCAGTCTGCGTTTGGATCCCAAGAGGCACAAACGGCAGCTGGTGACCATCCCCCCCTCAGTGGAGGGCAACCTCCGGTTCTGGGGGTCTCCCGGGCGCCTCCGGAGGGGGTCTCCACTGGGGCGGGTAACCTCCTACATCACAGTGTTCACGGACGCATCCAGAACAGGATGGGGAGGGACCTGCCTGAAGAGGGCTATAGGTGGGCGCTGGTCTCTAACAGAAACACGACACAGCAACCTCCTAGAGCTACGGGCGGTAGTGTTAGTCCTCCAGCATTTCATGCCCCTAATTCAAGGGAGACATGTATTGGTCAGGAGCGACAACAGCACCACAGTGGCTTATATCAACAGGCAGGGCGGAGTCCGCTCCGCCGCCTTGTTGGCCACAGCGGAGAGGCTGTGGTTATGGGCATCAGAGGTGGTATTATCTCTGAGAGCCCTCCATATCCCGGGACTGGAGAACAGGGGGGCCGACCTCATGTCGAGGGGCGGCCCCCTGCCAGGCGAATGGACGCTTCACCCGGAGGTGGTGAAGCAGATCTGGGCCC